CCCCCCTCCCCCCCCAAGGAAATTTAGTCCCCCAAATTTCCCTCTTACTGTTGATCGAACAAATGGGGATACTGGGCTCTAAAGTTTGATTCTAGCTCCCAGGTAGCCTCCATTGGCGTGTGGTTCTGCCACACGACCTTTACAAATGACATTTTCTGGTTGCGGAGTATTCTGTTCTTTCGGTCCGTGATACCGACTGGTACTTTCTCATAAGATAAGTTCTCTTGGAGTGGAAGCGGTTCATGAGCCGAGACATGAGAGGGGTTCGGGTTGTACTTACGTAACATGGATACATAGAACACATTGTGGACCTTGGAGAGCTCTGGAGGCAGTGTTATACTGTAGGCGGCAGTACCAATCCTGTCCAAGACTTCAAATGGTCCAATAAATCGGGGGTTCAGTTTTTCTCTCTTGTCGAACCTACTAATTCCTTTGAAATGAGTGACCTTAAGGAACACCCGGTCGCCTTTATCAAACGTTAAATCTCTCATCTGAGTATCCGCATAACTCTTCTACCTAATCTGAGCCGTCTGAATGTTCTTTCTGATTTTAATTATTTTAGACGTGGTCTCCTTTACCAACTCCAGGCCGAACAATTTTCTATCACCTACTTCTTCCCAACAAATCGGCGATCTGCATGGGCGCCCATATAACGCCTCATACGGAGCCATGCCAATGCTCACTTGGTAGCTATTGTTGTAGGCAAATTCTATCAGGGGTAAATGGTCGTCCCAATGGCCCCTAGAGTCAAGGACACAAGCTCGGAGCATGTCATCAAGTGTACGGATTGTCCTTTCTGATTGTCCATCAGTCTGAGGATGGAAGGCAGTACTGAGAGATAGCTTTGTTCCCATGGCTTGCTGGTAGCTACTCCAAAATCGAGAAGTGAACCTGGGGTCCCTGTCGGATACCACTGTCATTGGAACTCCATGCAACCTGACTATTTTTCGAATATTCATTCTTGCCAACTTGTTCAAGGGATCGGTCATCCTGATGGCTAAGAAGTGGGAAGACTTGGTAAGCCGGTCAACAATTACCCAGATGGCGTCATGTCCTGAACGTGTCTTGGGTAATCCCGTTACGAAGTTCATGGTGATATGTTTCCATTTTCACTCCAGGATCGGTAAAGGCTGAAGTAACCCATCTGGGCGCTGATGCTCTACCTTGACCTGCTGACATACCAAGCATTTAGATACAAAGTCAGTTATGTCCCTCTTCATCCCATTCCACCAAAACTGGGGTCGCATGTTTTGGTACATTTTGGTGCTTCTGGGATGCATAACAAACTTCGAGCTATGGGACTCTGTCTTGATTTCTCTCTTTAACTCACTGTCGTCTGGGACACACACCCTATCCTGGAACTGGAGTAACCCATCCGTAGAGACTCAGAATTCTAAGCTCACTCCCTGTTTTGCATCATTCTTACGGGCTACTAGGGCGGGGTCAACTGACTGGGCTTCCCTTATTCTCTGTATTAACTCGGGTTGGACGGTCAGACGGCCCAAATATGCGACTCTCTTCAGGTCCTGAAGTCAAACCTGTTGTGTGGCCCCAATTTGCCTACGTTTTGAAACCATCAAATGGGCTAAGATACCTGCATTTTTCTTGCTGAGAGCATTTGCCACCATGTTGCCCTTACCCGGATGATACAAGATATCACAATCATAGTCTTTAAGAAGTTCCATCCACCTTCTCTGACGTATGTTGAGATCATTTTGAGTGAATATGTGTTTCAAACTCTTATGATCGGTATAGATTTGAAAGGTCTCTCCGTATAAATAATGGCGCTAGGTTTTCAAGGCGTGTATGATTGAGGCAAGCTCCAAGTCATGGGTATGATAATTCCTCTCATGATTCTTTAACTATCTGGACCCATAGGCTATGACCTTTTCATGCTGCATTAGGACACAACCCAGGCCTAGATAGGAGGGATCACTATAAACTGTATATCCCCCCGATCCACTCGGTAAAGCCAGTACGGGTGCAGTGGTCAGCCGCTTCTTTAATTCAGAAAAACTTATCTCACAGTCCTCATTCCACTCAAACTTGGC